TGTGTGTGTGTGTGTGTGTGTGTGTGTGTGTCGTCGTGTGTGTGTGTGTGTGTGTGTGTGTGTGTGGTGTGTGTGTGTGTGTGTGTGTGTGTGTGTGTGTGTGTGTGTGTGTGTGTGTGTGTGTGTGTGTGTGTGTGTGTGTGTGTGTGTGTGTGTGTGTGTGTGTGTGTGTGCACGGGGGTGCAGGGGCTGGCCCACTGCAGGTGCATGGCCGGGGGGAGGCGCGCGCGCAGCACGCAGCACGGCCATTGTTGTCGTGTAATAATGCTGCAGCGCTGATCACAGTCATTTCAGTAGCCCGCGTGGGAAGCTAGGCGTCTGGGTGTGTGCATGTGTGCGTGCGCGTGTGTCTGCGAAGCGTGGTTCTCAGCTTAGCGAACGACGAGTTAAACGCTGCGAAATTGCAGGTATTCGCGAGAGGTGTTAAAACCGTGGCGGCTTGGGAACAGCAACCGAGCGAGCGAGAGAGAGAGAGGAATGCAAGCGACGGTTGATGACTCGCAGATGATGATGACGATGATACATCACAGCGTGGGCCATCCCCGCTGATATAACGCGCCGGCAGACAGACACCGACGCCTATACGCTACGAGAAGGACTCGAGGCTACTTGTAATGCCGCTCGCAAGGTTGCGAGGTGTGTCCGCGTAGGAAACGCGCGTGTTTGCGTGTATGTACGCGTATTAGCAAAGGCTAGCAGCGAGTGCAGAAGGGTTGCGACTACATGCGCCTTTCCGCGTGTTAACTCGAGTGCGCTGTTAAGTCGATGCGAAAATAAGATATCAAAGAGAATTATTTACGGAGCGAACACGAGAGGTGAGTGGAGGGACTCTAGGCGTTGCCGGGTTGTTAATCCAGCTCACGGATTGCCGCACGCTATCGCCTGCGAAATCCTGTGACGGGAGTTTGAATCCGTGAAGAAGGTAATCGGACGCCGAGAGAAGACGCTTGTCGTGAGTCTGCACTGACACTCCGTGGCACGTCGTGGATGTGATCGGCCCAGGTGTGCGTCGTCATTCTACACGCAGCATGTCGTGGAATACAGGTGTCGCCTTGCTGCTGTTGACACTCGATGCGCTGCAGGCCCCGACGATTTTCGGTGAGCTAACGTCACTGTAGATTTCTAGTTTTAACCGAGGTTGGGGGGCCATGTTACCTGAAGACCTGTCACCTGCGGGGAGCGGATTCTGCTATGATACTGACCGCTCTACACAGGGATCGGGCTGTTTACGTGCAAATATGTAACCCATGCAGTGTGGTGGTGTTTATATACCCTACTCCGTTAGGTATTTGTATCTACTTGCTGTTATATAGCCTGCTCCGTGCGTGAATTGCGCCTGCTGTAAAAAATCGGGCAGCTCTGTGCAGAATACGATGCTGCTACGATGGCATTGACTGCTTGCTATATGCATGAAGGGCGTCTCTTATGCTACTGCCTTCCCCTTGCATCGCGTCGAGCCTGCGTTAATATTGACTGCCTGGTCTGAATGAAACGTCAGCTCAAACATACACCTGCCCTTTATTTAATGGAGTCGATGAAAAATTTATTTCGGTCATATATATATATATAGAGAGAAAGAGAGAGAGAGAGAGCGCGCGAGAGAGAGATTTCACGAGCAGCGCGATATTCTCGTGTTATGGCTCCCCGCGTGTATTTCGCAGTGCACCTGTATTCTATTTTGTTTAAGTTCGCATCGGGTATACGCTGCTACTCTGGCCGGCTGTATCGCCCGTTACCACGCGTGAATGAATAATAATGTTTAGAATGAATGACTCTCAAAAGACTTTCCGCACAATAGTTTCTTACGCTCGTTTGCAACCCTATGCAGCCAGCGCCTTGCAAATATCGCTATATCGCTTTACGCTGGCTACCTGTTCGAGAGAGAAGTGTGGATGGGGGGAGGCGCGATGTGTTGGATCTAGAGATTACCTGCGGCCTGCCACTCATTCTCCTACATTCCCTCACGATGTTTACCTTCTCTTGGGCGATCTACGCGATTGTTTACAGAGACAACTTGGACCGCAAATACGAGGAGAGGCAATAAGACGCGAGTGTTGTGTCGTCTTGGTAAACAGCGAACGCGCTTATATACGCTTATCATGGGCAGGCATGCTCGAACGAGTCGAATTACAGTCTCCGTGAATTATAATGCGTATATAATAATACGCGCCTAGCTACTACATACATGCACGCGCGTGCAGGCGCGAGTTTTGATTGTGAATATGCAAAAGCAAATTCACGTCGCCCTCGCTTGCTTGCGCCCGTCGCTCGGCTGTGCTTAACCCGCAATTATACTATCGCTGAAGCTTTGGGTGGAAAGACCATAAAGCTTATGCATCAACAGACACGTCGCAGTAACTAAGACATCCCTTTTATTTATTTACGTCAGAATTGCTGCCATCTCGGCTCACATCTGTATAGTCTAGACATTCCGAGCGCTGTTTTGAAAAGATGCTGGGAGATAGTGGCAGACCGCTCTGAAAACATACGACTAAGCGCGTGATACAATGAGTGTGCGCATCTTCCCGTAATACCAGCTATAGGTTATGCGCGCAAAACCTGTTCCAAGCTCTGCTATCCACTGAATAGAGACACTGGAGATGAAATCACCTCTGGTCATCTCTCTCGCCGTTGTTGAGAGAGGGCGTTTTATTTCTCTTCATTACACAATACTTCTTTATTCGATGAGACCAATCCTTCACCGATCGCGGTGCGTGTACGCAAACTCTGCTGCGTATGTCCTGTTGAGTGACTCCAGTCAGGCAGGCACCCAGCTGTGACCACGTTGAAAACATACGCGTAGAGAAGTGACAACTTTCGTGGTTGATTTCATTTCGCCTCGGGCGATAAGAAAATGGGCCAAAGAAAAGGCGTAGTTAGTTCGCGAGTGTGATGTCACCGCTAGGCGAGTGTGATGTCACCGCTAGGCGAGTGTGATGTCACCGCTACGCGAGTGTGATGTCACCGATTTGGGAGAAATGCTGGCGACGGAAGGGTATATTAGTAGGTCTCATGGGAGAAATAGTGATCAGAAGTTGTGGATATAGAAATTAGTTAACCCTAACCCTAACTAATCCTAACCCTAACCCTAACCCTATCCCTAATTCTAAAATAAAACAAAATTTTCCAAAAATCATAAAAAATAAAATAAATAAGAGACAAAATTAGCCAATCAGAGCCGTTTTTGTTAGCGCTTAACGCGCCCTCTAGCGGATCACTATCTCTCCCCTGTGCAAAATGGTCGGCATATGTTTTCATGAACCAGAGTATCCGCGTGACGTCAGTGTACGTCACGCACGAACTCGGCTATCTCCGAAGTTGAATGCATACGGGAATAACTTTCCCCCGGGCGTAGATTGAGGGTGCCGCTACGTGGCAGCACTAGTGTTAAGATTAAGTAAGATTAGTTAGTGTTAAGATTAGTGTTAGTATCAAGGGTTAGGGTTAGGGTTAGGGTTAGGGAAATACGGGTATAATAATATAATAATATAGGGAAATGATTATAGACGACTTGTGCAATGACGTCATAAGACGTGATCACGTGCCCTCAATCTACGCCCGGGGGAAAGTATATTCCATACTACGCATATCAACTTCCGCATCAGACTTCCGCATCAGATAAAGAATGATGCAAAAATCCTAAAACTAACCCTAACCATAACCCTAACCCTAACCCTAACACTAAATATTAACCGACTCGGCTATCTTATATACTATCTATCGTATCGCAAACACTATCTATGGTGTATAGATAGCCACTGACGTCACACTGACGTACACTGACGTCACGCGGATACTCTGGTTTATGGAAACATATGCCCACCGTGCAGAATTCAGGGTATATTGGAACTTTGTGGAATGTGTAATGAGCCGCGTTCACACGGAGCGAAAACGCCAGGTCGAAAACGATCCGAGACTGACCCGGATCAAAAACGACACGTTTTTCACACGACGTTCACACGACGTTCACGTTTACACGACGTTTGATCGATCAGTTCTAGGGCATGCCTCTATGCCAAAGAGCTTATAATTATTATTATCATATATTATATAAGCGCTTTGTCTATGCTCTTTCCCTCATGTTTCCTACATGCAGTTCTAGGAATGCTATGCGAGCTGCGAGCTGCGAGTTACAAAGAAAACAATGTGTTCAAGCGAACAATCAAGCGAACAATGTGAATTAAACAATCAATGCACAGCAACTCTGTGTAAACTCTGGCTCTCGACACTGGCGACGACTACCGCCGTACTGTCTGACCCGGGTCGTGTGTCGGTGCCGGTGCCGGGTCGTCTGACCCGGGTCGTGTGTCGGTGCCGGTGCCGGGTCGTCTGACCCGGTACCGTCTGACCCGGGTCGTGTGTCGGTGCGCGTTCAATGCACGGCAACAATGAATCAGCGCTCGGGTCGATTTCGATTCTGTATTCGTTCCATGTGAACGCTTGGCCCGGGACGCATTTCACCCGGGTCGTTTTCGACTGAAACGCGGTTTTTGAACGCGGCTGGCGGGGGCACGCGTGCGTGCGTGCGTGCACGTCGTTGTGTGCGTGCGTGCCTGATTGCGTGCGCGCGCGTGTTTGTGTATGCCTGCTTGCGTGCGCGCGTGTGCATGCGTTTGTGTCGTTGTGCGTGCGTGCGTGCGTGTGCGTATGTGTATTTTAGGCAGCGTCTAGCTGGGGGGAACACGCGCGCGTGCGCGTGCGCATGTGTGTTTTTGAGAGTGCGTGGCTTGAGCGTATGTGTGTTTTGCTTGGGGTCTAGTAGGGAGCCACGTGCCGCAGGTGGTAGCGTGGTGATCAGGTCTGCTTATCTCGCTTGCTCACCGCGGTTGCTAATTCGCCGCTCCCAGTTTTAGCGGGAGGGTGCTGCGTCGGATATACAGAAGCCACGATGCGGTGATTGCCGGATCGCATCTACGCAAGCAGCGGGGGAACTTTAATTAAAGCGCATGTTATTCTCTGATATAGCGGCTCGCTGCTAGCGTTGCCTGTGCACGCTTAGTGCCTCGCCGCGCGCTGAGATTTGCCGTTGCACAGCGTGAGAAATAGCGAGTTATATACCCCCCTCTCCCTCTCCCTCCCCTCCCCCTCTCACTCTCCCTCTCCCTCCCCTCCCCCTCCCCCCTCTCCCTTCCCTCCCCCTCTCACTCCCCCTCTCCCTCTCCCTCCCCCGGAATGCGTAATAGGACCGTTGTTCTCAGCCTCGTGTATAAGTGTGCGCTGTTGTCGGTTACTGTATGTCAATGGTAGAGCAAAACACTTTAGAGTACTCGCAGGGTGTATAGGGTTAGTCCAGTCAATCTAGTTACGTGCAGTATATAGCTCTCTGCCCGCAGTGAGCGAATTCGCTGTTAGTCCTGCACATGCGTTTCTGTATTTCCAGACGGACTTGGCTCATCGACAATTGTAAATATACATAGCAAACAGTATAAGCCTATTATAGTTATCGGCATGAATGGGATACGTGTATCGTGTATACGGGTAGCGGTTTTTGTGAGCTTTCCTCGCGTGTGCTTTTATTCGTCGACATTGACTACGAGTTATCTTGCCTGCATGCTGTGGGCAGTACGGCAGAATGCATAATCCACTTTAGAAATTTCGCGTGCTAGTTGTAAGAGTTCCTACGGCGTGACTTCAAGTTTAGCTTATCGATTTTGACTGATCTGGGCGATATGATAAAAATCAGCAGCTTCGCCGAGGCGCTTTTAAACTTTTAGTCACGTTTTCAGTAGATGAGATGAATTGATTCGGAAAAATGGTTTCATCGCAAAGTATTCAACTGCTTTTGACGTTTCGTTTCCCACGAGGGTTTCTCCTCTAATTCTTTCAGGCTAAAATGCATTCGCTTTCCATCAGTGCGAATTATGCGCATTTTTTCGTCCCAATCCGCTTTCTTTGATCAGCTTCTCTAGTCGAATGTTTGATTATTTATGGGAGCGTTTATGCAGATTCTTGAGGTGGCTTGGCAATAGCATCTGTCCATCCGCGCACTTCAGTGAAGCTTTGGGATAATTTCTAGCGACTTGTAATAAGCGACTTGTCGTGCGGTAAAGTTTCGTCTAAAAATAGCATGCACGCAGTACTCTCGGTTGTTCTTGCGG